TGAGTATGAGTGTTGTGTGTAGTGGTGCAGCTCTCAGTCCTGTGTTGAGTATGAGTGTTGTGTGTAGTGGTGCAGCTCTCAGTCCTGTGTTGAGTATGAGTGTTGTGTGTAGTGGTGTAGCTCTCAGTCCTGTGTTGAGTATGAGTGTTGTGTGTAGTGGTGCAGCTCTCAGTCCTGTGTTGAGTATGAGTGTTGTGTGTAGTGGTGCAGCTCTCAGTCCTGTGTTGAGTATGAGTGTTGTGTGTAGTGGTGCAGCTCTCAGTCCTGTGTTGAGTATGAGTGTTGTGTGTAGTGGTGTAGCTCTCAGTCCTGTGTTGAGTATGAGTGTTGTGTGTAGTGGTGTAGCTCTCAGTCCTGTGTTGAGTATGAGTGTTGTGTGTAGTGGTGCAGCTCTCAGTCCTGTGTTGAGTATGAGTGTTGTGTGTAGGGGGGCAGCTCTCAGTCCTGTGTTGAGTATGAGTGTTGTGTGTAGGGGGACAGCACACTGAGAGACTGGTCACTGGATCCACTACACTCTGTCCTGAAGGGATGAATTACATATGAATGAAATTATACTGATGCAATGATAAGTAGATTTGCAACACGTTGTGTTATGCTCTCAGTATATATATATACCTATATGTCCGCTGCTGCTCCTGCAGTGTTGTGCTGACCGTCCTCGGGGGTCTTCTCCTCGCTGGTGCTGCCCTCGACATCGGTATCAACTACTCCGATCAGCAGCAGCTTCGAAAAGGTCAGTCAGAATTTATGTGATAAAACTTGCATAACGAAGACTCTATAAGCAGCAAAGATTTTGTGAAAAATGGTTAACTGTGTTGCATTGAAGGAAGATCATATTTGAATACATGGTCCAGGCACATACATCCTCGTCCAAGTGGATTTGAAGTATATGGATTAAATAGATTCTCTCTCTCTCTCTCTCTCTCTCTCTCTCTCTCTCTCTCTCTCTCTCTCTCTCTCTCTCTCTCTCTCTCTCTCTCTCTCTCTCTCTCTCTCTCTCTCTCTCTCTCTCTCTCTCTCTCTCTCTCTCTCTCTCTCTCTCTCTGTCTCTGTCTCTCTCTCTCTCTCTCTCTCTCTCTCTCTCTCTCTCTCTCTCTCTCTCTCTCTCTCTCTCTCTCTCTCTCTCTCTCTCTCTCTCTCTCTCTCTCTCTCTCTCGCTCTCTCTCTCTCTCTCTCTCTCTCTCTCTCTCTCTCTCTCTCTCTCTCTCTCTCTCTCTCTCTCTCTCTCTCTCTCTTGCTCGCTCTCTCTCTCTCTTGCTCGCTCTCTCTCTCTCTCTCTCTCTTGCTCGCTCTCTCTCTCTCTTGCTCGCTCTCTCTCTCTCTCTCTCTCTCTCTCTCTTGCTCGCTCTCTCTCTCTCTCTCTCTTGCTCGCTCTCTCTCTCTCTTGCTCGCTCTCTCTCTCTCTCTCTCTCTCTCTCTCTCTCTCTCTCTCTCTCTCTCTCTCTCTCTCTCTCTCTCTCTCTCTCTCTCTCTCTCTCTCTCTCTCTCTCTCTCTCTCTCTCTCTCTCTCTCTCTCTCTCTCTCTCTCTCTCTCTCTCTCTCTCTCTCTCTCTCTCTCTCTCTCTCTCTCTCTCTCTCTCTCTCTCTCTCTCTCTCTCTTGCTCGCTCTCTCTCTCTCTCTCTCTCTCTCTCTCTCTCTCTCTCTCTCTCTCTCTCTCTCTCTCTCTCTCTCTTGCTCGCTCTCTCTCTCTCTTGCTCGCTCTCTCTCTCTCTCTCTCTTGCTCGCTCTCTCTCTCTCTTGCTCGCTCTCTCTCTCTCTCTCTCTCTCTCTCTCTCTCTCTCTCTCTTGCTCGCTCTCTCTCTCTCTCTCTCTTGCTCGCTCTCTCTCTCTCTTGCTCGCTCTCCTCTCTCTCTCTTGCTCGCTCTCCTCTCTCTCTCTTGCTCGCTCTCTCTCTCTCTCTCTCTTGCTCGCTCTCTCTCTCTCTTGCTCGCTCTCTCTCTCTCTCTCTCTCTCTCTCTCTCTCTCTTGCTCGCTCTCCTCTCTCTCTCTTGCTCGCTCTCCTCTCTCTCTCTTGCTCGCTCTCCTCTCTCTCTCTTGCTCGCTCTCCTCTCTCTCTCTTGCTCGCTCTCCTCTCTCTCTCTTGCTCGCTCTCTCTCTCTCTTGCTCGCTCTCTCTCTCTCTCTCTCTCTTGCTCGCTCTCTCTCTCTCTCTTGCTCGCTCTCTCTCTCTCTCTTGCTCGTGCGCTCTCTCTCTCTCTCTCTCTTGCTCTCTCTCTCTCTCTCTCTCTCTCTCTCTCTCTCTCTCTCTCTGGTCCTCTTTGGTTGTGGGTATGTATATATATATATACATACCCACAACTCTTGCCCGAACGAAAGTGTTAATATAACACTTTCGTTCGGGCATGACGCAATGCTGCGTCGCCAGTTTACTGTCGGTAATCTCGGGGACGACGCAATGCTGCGTCGTCCACTAAAATAATCGCCAAAAATCAGGTTTTTATCCGATTTTTTTGGGACTGGTTTCAAAATGCGCCCCTATGTCTTCTCTACACGCCTATGTCATGTTCAACACACAACACTGAGGTGGTAGGTACAAACAATTGTATTATTTTGTATATTTTTTTTTTTTTCATACTTTCGCGTATTGTACAGGCAATATTGTTCTTCAATTGGTCCTTATATGCACATATCCATCTAAAGCATTCTATTAGGAACAATTTCATACCTAAATGAGCGCTGTAACACGAAAATTGAGATCAGCAACAAGTAATAATACTAAACATTTGTGGGCAGGAATTGGGAGTGTAGCTTTTTTTTTTTTTTTTTTTATTATTTTCTACCACAGACGTGGCCACACATTTACAATGCTAACCAGCATATATACATTTTCTTCTGTCCTCCATGGACAGGGTTAGAGAAGCTGGAAGGCGTCTGGGCCCTCACTCGCGGCTAACGCGTGGCCCGTCTTCAACTCGTCGGCGGTTGGAGCGTGACCAGGTTTTTTTATATTGTATGCTAATATTCCTCTAGAGAATTCCATTGCGAACCCATTGATACCAAAATGAAAGACCTAGGACGAAAATTGGGCTCCCTCATACTTGTCAACTAATGCTCCTTGCAAGACTCATACTTGTCAACTAATGCTCCTTGCAAGATTATTCATGATTTAGCACAGTAGTCAGCGTGGTCTGCTCACAACCGAAAGGTCCCGGGTACGATTCTCGCCTCTAAAGAAAGGCGATTGGGCATGTGTTCTTGCACCTTGATACCTTGCTAATCACCTAGCAGTAAATAGGTACTCGTGAGCTAGACAACTGTTATAGATTGCAACCTGCAGAGGGTCTGAAGTTGGACAAAGAGGGGGAAGGGCCTACCAGAACCCAGACGGACTTCCTGTCCTCAGCAGCTGGGAAATAAGGATTCATATCTAATATTCAATGTAAATTTAAGTATTGTGTGCTCTCTTGAGTTAACTTTGGTCCACTTTGGTCCTCTTTGGTTAACTTTGGTCCACTTTCGTCCTCTTTGGTTAACTTTGGACCACTTTGGCCCACTTTGGTTAACTTTGGTTCACTTTGGTTAACTTTGGTCCACTTTGGTTAACTTTGGTCCACTTTGGTTAACTTTGGTCCTCTTTGGTTAACTTTGGTCCACTTTGGTTAACTTTGGTCCACTTTGGTTAACTTTGGTCCACTTTGGTTAACTTTGGTCCTCTTTGGTTAACTTTGGACCACTTTGGCCCACTTTGGTTAACTTTGGCCCACTTTGGTTAACTTTGGTCCACTTTGGTTAACTTTGGTCCACTTTGGTTAACTTTGGTCACCTTTGCAGGTCCTTGGCGGTTCCTGCTAGCCTTCTCAGCCTACACCAACATCAAGAAAATATTTGCCATTAATAATAAGAAAAATCCTGAAGTAATTTCCTGCCTACATGGAATCAGGTGAGAATATGTCGCTGGTGATGATGAGAGACTGTAAAGCACGGTACGATTCATGATGATACATGAGACACACAAGGTGCACAGTACAAGATACATGAGACACTTCCAGGTCTCCCCTCTGCTGGGACCACTTCCTGGTCTCCCCCTCTGCTAGGACCACTTCCAGGTCTCCCCTCTGCTGGGACCACTTCCAGGTCTCCCCTCTGCTGGGACCACTTCCAGGTCTCCCCTCTGCTGGGACCACTTCTAGGCCACTATACACATTCCTTCCTCCAAAAACAACACAACTTAGAGTACTTGTCAGGTGGAAAGTACCAATGTGTAGTGTTGGCCGCTAGGACTTTTGCATTACCGAATTTGGACCAATGGGAAGCTTCAAACGCCACATAGATATGTAACCCAACCCGTCCTGGCTATCTTGGGCTTATTGCACGCTATCTTAGGTCTAATATGATACATGTGTGCTATACTAGGCCTAAATGTGGTTAAGATTGTTTTTTAGCTTTATATAATCCGGACTCTATAGAAGTAAATGTTCAGAAAGTGAACTTTTGATGGTTCATCACTATATATTGGTACTCTTTAGTGGTTCTTCACTACATATTGGTACTCATAAGTGGTTCATCTCTACATATTGGTACACTTTGGTGGTTCATCACTACATATTGGTACACTTTGGTGGTTCATCACTACATATTGGTACACTTTGGTGGTTCATCACTACATATTGGTACTCTTTGGTGGTTCATCACTACATATTGGTACTCTTTGGTGGTTCATCACTACATATTGGTACTCTTTGGTGGTTCATCACTACATATTGGATTTCATAAGTGGTTCATCACTACATATTGGTACTTCTTAGTGATTCATCACTATATATTGGTACTTTTTGATGGTTCACCACTACATATTGGTACTCTATGGTGGTTCATCACTACATATTGGTACTCATAAGTGCTTCATCACTACATATTGGTACTCTTTGGTGGTTCATCACTACATATTGGCACTTCTTAGTGATTCATCACCATATATTGGTACTTTTTGATGGTTCATCACTACATATTGGTACTCATAAGTGGTTCATCACTACATATTGGTACTCTTTAGTGGTTCATCACTACATATTGGTACTCTTTAGTGGTTCATCACTACATATTGGTACTTCCAACTAACAATTACTGTAAGTACTCTCGGTTCAGGAGGACGGGCTGACATATATATATTAGTATATATAAAGTGTAGGAAAAATAATAAAAAAAACTAATATATTTCATGCTTTCACGAGGCCAAATCAATATTCTTAATAGATCGGGAACCAAGACTTATCCAAATTAAGTATTGTACTTACACCAATATGAAAAAGTTATTTGCAAAATAGATTTGACTAAAGTAGGATAATAATTCAAGTCAACTTAATCAATTAAGATTTTTAATTTTGAGTCAAACAAGGAACTGGCTGAGACAACGCTCGTCTCATCTAATCACGAGTCTCTAATCTTATCTAATCTCATCTAAAGCAAGGGCTGCAGATATCCCTGGGCTCAGATACTCAGAAGGGGACCTGCAAGAAAGTTTTAATACATTACATTAATATGAATACATTAAATATGTATCAATAAATATGCACGCAATATTTTATTAACTTTATCCTCACGTAATGTTTCCACAGAGTGATGTCCATGACCTGGGTGGTGTGGGCCCATTGCTATGCATTTTTCTTCCTATACTCCCGTAACATACTTGGAATGCAGGCGGTGAGTATAGCCATTAGGCATTTTTACACCTCATTTATTAGTATGAGCGTCGTGTCATTACAGCGTCAAAGAGGGTTGCTGGTAGTGTGTTGCTGAGGAGTTAATGGGACGTGCTGATATACCCAGTCTTCCTTAGTCTTTGTTAGTGTTCGCTGGTCGTTGGTAGTGTTCGCTGGTCGTTGGTAGTGTTCGCTGGTCGTTGGTAGTGTTCGCTGGTCGTTGGTAGTGTTCGCTGGTCGTTGGTAGTGTTCGCTGGTCGTTGGTAGTGTTCGCTGGTCGTTGGTAGTGTTCGCTGGTCGTTGGTAGTGTTCGCGGGTCGTTGGTAGTGTTCGCTGGTCGTTGGTAGTGTTCGCTGGTCGTTGGTAGTGTTCGCGGGTCGTTGGTAGTGTTCGCTGGTAGTGTTCGCTGGTCGTTGGTAGTGTTCGCTGGTCGTTGGTAGTGTTCGCTGGTCGTTGGTAGTGTTCGCTGGTAGTGTTCGCTGGTCGTGTTCGCTGGTCGTTGGTAGTGTTCGCTGGTCGTTGGTAGTGTTTGCTGGTCGTTGGTAGTGTTAGCTAGTCGTTGATAGTGTTCGTTAGTCGTTGGTGGTGTTCCCTATTGATTTTGATTAAACAATTTTGAAGAAAAATATAAATATGTTGATTCAAGAAATATATATATATATATATATATATATATATATATATATATATATATTGTGACGATAATCTCCTTCAAGAGATTGAGCCTGCTCTTCCCTCCAAAATTACGTCTTCACAACTATATAAAAGACTATGGAAGAAATGTCCAACAACGACAACAAACACCAGCAAGGCTTGCCAGGGTGAGCAGAAACGTATGCAACCAGCCACCTGTTCGAACTCCAACCACCAAACTACCCGTTGATCGCTACGACTCCGCTGATTGGTCGCCGGTCTGGCTGCACCTGCCTCGCCCCCCCCATACTACCCGATGTCTGGGGTCGCCCCAACATCAGTCTTCAGAATGTTCCGTGCTTTCGTAGCCAGCACTCCTCCCAGCTAGACGTTAGCGTGTACTGAGAGAGGTGGTGGCTTTAAGCCAATATTCCAGCACCTCCCACTTAACTGTTGTATTGCACTTCTTGTTATTTTGCCTTAACGTAACTTTTCATTGTGTCATTTAAGTATTCTTATTATTTTGATTGATTGATTTTATTATACATATTTGTTTGTGCATTATTTTCATGTTTTGATTTATTTAACGTAATTAAAATTTCATTGTTAAAGTTTACTTGTGTTTTGTGTGTCTTCTCCTTACCTTACCACAGACGAAGTTCCAGTTTTTCTATTTTTTTTTTATAACTATGTGACGAGGCCATACCCCTAGCCTTAAACAGCCGAACACCAACGCGTTACCGTCACAAGTTATATGGGGGCCTGTCCTAGGAGCTTCACTCAGGTACTGGTGCTAAGTGGTAATTTATGGTAAGCGTATTTAACTTTGTTAACGTAGCTTTACTATTTTTCATTCAATTTCATTTTTTATAAGGTGCGGTGTATTGTGCATTACGAGAGTAACATATAGTGAAGGTGAGACAACTTTGGATTACGTGGTGACTGTAGGCCTCAGTCATACTCTTAATTGGTCATCTCTCCCTCCATGTTATTACTCGTATTTACCATCTATGTCCCTTGAATATTTCTCATTCTGACAGATCATCATATTGGTACCCTGGTACTGTGGTCTGCCCCGGGTCAAGAGTACCCAATCTTCTGCAATCTGACTGTAGGAGGACAAAGAGGGCCATAGTTCCTCTAGCTCGAACTTTAGTTGCTGAATTGGGACCTCAGCAGCAGTTCTCGTCACCAGTTGACACCTCGCACCCCTACACGTCAGTCAGAGATGATGATACATACAACGGTAGGGAATTAGCTTATTTTTTTCAGAGCACAAAAGTTCGCTAATTCTGTAAGTATCATATTAAATTCAGTGGGAAAAACTTGCTTTATGTCCTATAGAGACTTGGCAAGGTATGCCTACATCCTTGGACTACCAATTTTACTTTTGAAGCATTTAACTGTTTCATTTGTTTTCGAAACTTTGTTTCATTTGTTAGTAGGATTTTCTTGCCCTTATTCTCTTACATGAGTACCGGGTACAAGATTTCCTGCGCCCTTGATTTAATTTAATCATTTAATATCTTTCACTTAACGTTAATTGTTAAAGATCACACAGGATAGGTACCAGTTGCCACGTTGTCCTGTTTCTGACATTTCATTATTGAACATTCGTGTACCTTTATTTGCTAATTTCACCATGTTTCGTCTCCAAACTTTCCGTGCAAATCCAGCAGGTGAAATAGGGACTTTGAGTCGTGCCAAGAGGACTGAACTACAAACTCTTGCACATGAGTATCAACTAGAAGTTCCCTACCAAGCCAACAAAAATGACCTACACAACCTGTTGCTGGATTACTATTTAGAGCAAGGTAAGATAGACTCTGAAACTCATGAAACTTACTATATTGCAGAGAAAACTGACTTGGCTACGATGAAACTTAAACTAGAGCTGGCCAAGATTGAACGTGAGCAGCAAAGAGAAGCAGCTGCCATACGAAGGGAAGAACACGAACGCGAAGCCGCTTTGAGGAGAGACGAACAAGAACGCGAAGCTGCTTTGAGGAGGGAAGAACAAGAACGAGAAATCACCCTCAGAGAACGTGAAGCTGCCTTGAGGAGAGACGAACAAGAACGTGAGGTTGCACTACTCCAGGAGCGGGAACGAGTACAGCTTGAAACCAAACGACGCGAGTTGGAGATGCAACGCGAACATGACAAGCAACAAGCGACTCTGGCTCTAGAGTGTCGTCAACGCGAAATCTCCTTGGAAACTTCACACTTCACTCAACGCCAACAAGCTACTGCCAATCTTCCCGTCAGTTTTAATATATCACATGCAAGTAAGTTAATGCCATCCTTTGTAGAAGCAGAAGTTGATGTGTTCTTTACCACCTTTGAAACCCTCGCTAATCAACTCAGTTGGCCTGTCGACCAATGGGCAACACTTCTCAGAGTCCATCTTACAGGTAGAGCTGCAGTCACACTCAGTACTTTGGCGTCTGAGAATGACTACTACACTCTGAAACAAGCAGTGTTAGACGCCTACCTACTTTCCACCGAAAGTTATAGAAGGAAATTCCGTGACCACCTGAAGGCAAGTACCACTACCTTCCTCGAGTTTGCTAACACGAAACGGAGGTATTTCATGAAATGGCTGGAAGCAGCACATGTCTCTACTTTTACAGAACTCGTCAACCTGATGCTTGTTGAAGAATTCTTGAGACGTGTGCCGCCTCCTGTCCGCCTCTACTTAGCAGATAAAGAAGAAACCGACTACCTGAAGTGTGCTAAGTCGGCTGACACTTACAGCCTCATCCACCGGCTGACACCCGAACCATCCTCCAGTAAGAAGTCGTGGTACAGTTACGAGAAGGTGAGCCCCGATCAAGCTGGTTCACAACTGTACTGCAAGTATTGTAGACTCTATGGACATACCATAGACAAGTGTGGTAAGTCTCAATACAAGGGAACCACTGACCAACAACGACCCAAACCCACTCCTCCTAAGTCCGGTAAGCCTGTGATGAATGTTGGTGTTGATGTTAATGATCTTTCTCTTTTCAGTAACCACCTGTATACTGGAACTGTCTCTGCCAACGGTTCAAATCCGGAGGGACGTTTCAAATTGAAGATCTTGAGGGACACAGCGGCTCTACAATCAATCATCTTGAAGTCGGCTGTGCCCAACATAGTCTACACCGGGGAAACAGTCTTCATCACTGACCTCACTGCTACTACTCCATACCCTCTCGCCAGAGTCCACCTGGATTGTCCCTACGTGAACGGGGAAGTCCAAGTCGCCGTCAGGGAAAAGCCTTTTCCCATGCCTGGAGTGCAACTTCTCCTAGGCAACGACTTGGCAGAAGACCTGCAACCGACCAACCTGATCGTCATGGACAAACCCCAGGTGTGTAACTCTGTGCCAATAAATCCTATTCTCGAGTATGTTCCAGCAGAGGTTCAAGAGAGTGATGAAGTTTCTCCTCCGGTTCTCGTGACCACCCGTGCACAAGCCGCACGTCCACAGCCAGCTGACTCTACTGCCACCGCTGTCCCTCAAGACCCTCAGAAACTACCCCCGCATCTGACCAAGTTGGAGTTCCGTAAGTTGCAGAGGGAAGATCTTACTTTAACACCATTGTTTTTCCAGGCTGAGACTCAACCCGACAGTATTCCTGGGTTCTTCCTAGAGAACGACTTGCTCTACCGCAGATATAGACCCAGTAAACTGAAGGAGGAGGACGATTGGGCCAACACCGAACAACTTGTGATTCCCACCAGCCTGCGGCCCACTATTCTACACCTGGCCCATGGAGCATTCTCCCACTACGGCTTCAACAAGACTTACCATGGGATTCGCCAAGACTACTACTGGCCAGGTATGGTAAATAACGTCAAACAGTACGTAAAACAGTGTCATACATGTCAGATGGCAGGCAAACCGAACGTCTCCATTCCCAGAGCACCACTGATTCCCATACAGGTGCCTGCGGAACCTTTCCACAGACTCATAATAGACTGTGTCGGTCCTTTACCTCGGACCAGTTCAGGTAACGCCTACATCCTAACCATCCTGTGTCCTACCACCAGATTTCCCATAGCAGTTCCAGTGAAGAACATCACGGCTGCTACGGTTATCAAACATCTATTGAAGATCTTCACTCAATACGGATTTCCCAGGGAGATTCAAAGTGACTGTGGCACCAACTTCACCAGTGATCTCTTCAAAAGGACACTGGAGGAGTTCAACATCAAACAGGTATTGTCCAGCCCCTATCATCCTGCTTCACAGGGTTCTCTTGAACGTAGTCATCAGACCATCAAAGCACTCTTGAAAAAGTTTTGTAGTGAAACCTCAAAGGATTGGGATAAGCAGATTGACCTAATAATGTGTATTTTCAGAAGTCTCCCCAATGAGTCCCTAGGAGTATCTCCTTATGAGATGCTCTACGGCCGTAAGTGCCGTACTCCCCTTAAGGCTTTCAAAGACTCTCTCAGAGATGCCACCTTCAGTGAGCATCAGAATGTGCCCCAGTTTCTTCAAAACCTTCAACACATTCTAGAGAGAGTCCACCGCTTTGCTCATGATAATCTATTGAAAGCCCAGGTGAGAATGAAGACTCATTACGACCAGACCAGCAAAGTAAGAAAATTCAAGCCGGGAGACTTCGTCCTTGCTTATTTCCCTATCCCAGGTTCACCTTTACAAAACAGATTTTCAGGACCCTACTGCGTCAAAGAGTGCAGGAATAATAATAATTATGTGATAGAGACTCCTGATAGGCGGCGGAAGACCCAGCTGTGCCACGTCAACCTCCTGAAGCAATATAATGGTACTCCTCCCACTGTCTTGACTAATTATTCCACATTCACAGAACCCTACATCCACAGTGAGACCTTCCCAGCTTCTCCTCCCGAAAGCACTGACAAGGAGTCAGCGCTTTCTAATTCCGAAATCCTTAATGATCTTCCCAAATGCTTTCAGGATAATACTCGTGCTCCTATGCCCTCTTCTAATTCCACTCTCACCTCGTCAGATAAGCCCTACATCCTCCATGTCGACGCCAATGGTACCGACGATGGTGGTGTCGTGATGCAGCAACGAGGCGAGAAGAATACACCTGTCAGCGACTACTGCTACAAGGAACGATGGAACAATTGGCAAGGAGCTACTCTTCCTCATCCTGAAGCTTCAGCACTTCACTCCACACCTGAAAAGTGCTCGGTCCACCATCAACACGGACCACACCACCCTACACCTCCTGCAGCACGCCCACTTCTCATCTCAACGTCTTCTACTATGGGCTTGCTAACTGCAGAAATTCAACCTGGAGACACGCTATATCAAGAGTCTGACAACATCTTAGCCCATGATCTCTCCAGAGTTTATGAAGTAGAAGCGACTCCATCCATTACTCCACCACATAACGACGTACTTCTTCCAGAACCGCAGGCTTCGGGGGAGAGTTGTGACGATAATCTCCTTCAAGAGATTGAGCCTGCTCTTCCCTCCAAAATTACGTCTTCACAACTATATAAAAGACTATGGAAGAAATGTCCAACAACGACAACAAACACCAGCAAGGCTTGCCAGGGTGAGCAGAAACGTATGCAACCAGCCACCTGTTCGAACTCCAACCACCAAACTACCCGTTGATCGCTACGACTCCGCTGATTGGTCGCCGGTCTGGCTGCACCTGCCTCGCCCCCCCCCATACTACCCGATGTCTGGGGTCGCCCCAACATCAGTCTTCAGAATGTTCCGTGCTTTCGTAGCCAGCACTCCTCCCAGCTAGACGTTAGCGTGTACTGAGAGAGGTGGTGGCTTTAAGCCAATATTCCAGCACCTCCCACTTAACTGTTGTATTGCACTTCTTGTTATTTTGCCTTAACGTAACTTTTCATTGTGTCATTTAAGTATTCTTATTATTTTGATTGATTGATTTTATTATACATATTTGTTTGTGCATTATTTTCATGTTTTGATTTATTTAACGTAATTAAAATTTCATTGTTAAAGTTTACTTGTGTTTTGTGTGTCTTCTCCTTACCTTACCACAGACGAAGTTCCAGTTTTTCTATTTTTTTTTTATAACTATGTGACGAGGCCATACCCCTAGCCTTAAACAGCCGAACACCAACGCGTTACCGTCACAAGTTATATGGGGGCACGGAACCTCGCCTCTATTGAATGTTCCGTGCTTTCGTAGCCAGCACTCCTCCCAGCTAGACGTTAGCGTGTACTGAGAGAGGTGGTGGCTTTAAGCCAATATTCCAGCACCTCCCACTTACCTTTTGTGTTGCACTTCTTGTTATTTTGACTTAACGTAACTTTTCATTGTGTCATTTAAGTATTCTTATTATTTTGATTCATTGATTTTATTATAAGAATTTGTTTGTGCATTATTTTCATGTTTTGATTTATTTAACGTAATTAAAATTTCATTGTTAAAGTTTACTTGTGTTTTGTGTGTCTTCTCCTTACCTTACCACAGACGAAGTTCCAGTTTTTTCTATTTTTTTTTATAACTATGTGACGAGGCCATACCCCTAGCCTTAAACAGCCGAACACCAACGCGTTACCGTCACAAGTTATATGGTTATATAGTTATATATGTAACATCGCACGGAACCTATATGGCCTCGTCACAATATATATATATTTATATATATATATATATATATATATATATATATATATATAAACAAGCTTGCCTGAATGGTCCCCAAGCATATATGCCACTGAAAACTCCACACCCCGGAAGCGACTCGAACTTAGACGGCCAGGAGCACTTCACACCCCAGAGTCACCTTTTGGGTGTGGAGTTTTCAGTCGTTTATATGCTTGGGGACTATTCAAGCTCATTTGCATTTGTGTTGTTCACGTGGCCCCACAAAGTGAAGTGATTCGATGAAATAGCTATGCCCAAGATTACCACCATGTGACATCGGGACGGTGAGGGGAAATAGACTCGGCTACCATCTTTTGTACAGTCACTGATGGTAGAGTGGTTTAAGGCACCGTGTACACCAGTTGCAATGTGTTCCTGGCGGGCTAGGTTCGAGTCACTTCTGGGGTGTGGAGTTTTCAGTTGCGTATACGCTTGAGGACCATTGAAGCTTATTCGCCTTTGTATTGCTCTCGTGGCCCCACAAAAATGAGGGGATTTGATGAAATAGCTATGCCCAAGATTACCATCAAAGTGCCATTGGGGTGGTGGTTCAAATAACCTCAGCTATCACTGCCTTTTGTACAATCATTGATGGTCCAGTGGTTTAAGGCACCGTGTACACCACTTGCAATGTGCTCCTGGCAGTCCGGGTTCGAGTCACTTCTGGGGTGTGGAATTTTCAGTTACACACATATGTAGATATATACTACATATGTGAATGGTCCCCAATCCAATATGCAACTGAAAGCTCCTCACCCCTGAAAGATTTGAATCCAGACAGCTAGGGCTCTATGCACTTAAGAGTATCCCGTATTATATTGCTAGACCACACTGACTATAGGGGACCTCGTAGCCTGGTGGATAGCGCGCAGGACTCGTAATTCTGTGGCGCGGGTTCGATTCCCGCACGAGGCAGAAACAAATGGGCAAAGTTTCTTTCACCCTGAATGCCCCTGTTACCTAGCAGTAAATAGGTACCTGGGAGTTAGTCAGCTGTCACGGGCTGCTTCCTGGGGGTGGAGGCCTGGTCGAGGACCGGGCCGCGGGGACACTAAAGCCCCGAAATCATCTCAAGATAACCCCAAGATAACCTCAAGATACAAAAAGGTTGGAAGTCATGTGACCCTTACCCCAACCCCCGACAGCACTGGCCATCCTGGACCAGGGAGATCCAGGTCAGGATAAGGCTCCATAAGATAAGTGACAGTATATGGGTCCAGGTGACTTTATCCAGACTTGGACCCTTATCCAGTCACCTGGATAAGGGGCTTTTATCCAGGTGACTGGATATAAGTCCAGGAGAGGTCAATATGGCCCCACCTTCATTTAGTGCCACATGTGTGTGGGTCGGGTTAATAATACTGTGGTTTATGTTGTGTGTGTGTCGGTGTAGGTGACAGATGACGTGATCGACGAGACGGTCGACAACGCCAGCTTCAGTGTCGACACTTTCTTCTTCATCAGCGGCTTCCTGGTGACTTATGGAGTTCTGAAGGAGTTCAGCAGAGTAGGCAGGATCAACTGGATCATGTACTACGTTCACCGCGTCATCAGGTAGGATGTACACGTTCACCGCGTCATCAGGTAGGATGTACACGTTCACCGCGTCATCAGGTAGGATGTACTACGTTCACCGCGTCATCAGGTAGGATGTACTACGTTCACCGCGTCATCAGGTAGGATGTACTACGTTCACCGCGTCATCAGGTAGGATGTACTACGTTCACCGCGTCATCAGGTAGGATGTACTACGTTCACCGCGTCATCAGGTAGGATGTACACGTTCACCGCGTCATCAGGTAGGATGTACTACGTTCACAGAGTCATCAGGTAGGATGTACACGTTCACCGCGTCATCAGGTAGGATGTACACGTTCACCGCGTCATCAGGTAGGATGTACTACGTTCACCGCGTCATCAGGTAGGATGTACACGTTCACCGCGTCATCAGGTAGGATGTACACGTTCACCGCGTCATCAGGTAGGATGTACACGTTCACCGAGTCATCAGGTAGGATGTACTACGTTCACCGTGTCATCAGGTAGGATGTACTACGTTCACATGTCATCAGGTAGGATGTACTACGTTCACCGCGTCATCAGGTAGGATGTACACGTTCACCGTGTCATCAGGTAGGATGTACTACGTTCACCGTGTCATCAGGTAGGATGTACACGTTCACCGTGTCATCAGGTAGGATGTACTACGTTCACATGTCATCAGGTAGGATGTACTACGTTCACCGCGTCATCAGGTAGGATGTACTACGTTCACATGTCATCAGGTAGGATGTACTACGTTCACATGTCATCAGGTAGGATGTACTACGTTCACATGTCATCAGGTAGGATGTACTACGTTCACCGTGTCATCAGGTAGGATGTACTACGTTCACATGTCATCAGGTAGGATGTACACGTTCACTGAGTCATCAGGTAGGATGTACACGTTCACAGAGTCACGATTCTTCGCGGCGGGGATCGTATTCCAGGGACCTGCCCGAAACGCTACACATACTAGTGGCTGTACAAGAATGTAACAACTCTTGTATATATCTCAAAAAAAAGTGTAAAAATGTGTTTTTTCATCTGAATGCATCAAATCGGTAAATTTTGTAATAATTCTTTAAAAATAGTAAATGGCACTATTTTTGCAGAATTATTACAAGATAATAGTACCCTTGTAGGGGTTTGATATAATACTGTAGAATGTCTACTGGTTTTACCTGAAATAATGTTTGTTACAGTTGATTATGGATACTGTATAGTGTAATGAAATGCTCTTACTGTGTTAAAAACACTATTTTTTTTAAAAGATAATTTAGTAATCAGCAGCTCTGAAAATCAGTTGATTAAAGATAATGCTGGATAATACACTTAAATGTGTACATACATATTGTTACCCCAAGTGAGATATAATGGTATATATATGAAATGAGATGTAATTGTGTCTGTGGCACTGATAAAATCAGGTACTGTGGTTTTTGACACAGAGCAGTTACTAGTATGCTATGAATGCTTACTAGGTAATGGCTAAGGTGGTCTGGCCACTGTAAACAATTTGTTCATTGTGGATATATAGATATTATAGATATTGGCTGTAAGCTAGGTTAGGCTATTATGTGAAAAAATTATTCCAATGCAAAATCAATTAGTTTCTTATGTATTTTGCTATTGAAATATTCGGTAAACGAAGGACCATAAATATGGTCTGAAGAGTACTGATGTAACCATCTAGGTTCAAAGGACCGTAAATGTAGGAAATACTGTTGGGATTAATGTGAGAGGAGAACTACTAGGGACTTGTACTGTACTAAATTAAAAATTACTGTATGCAAAATTACTTCAACTTAAGTCTGTAGCTAGGGTCATAAATCCTTGCTCTTCTTTTCCTAGTGATAGACTCCTCCACCGGGGATCGAACCTGGAGACAAGTGGGCAAAATGTTTCTTTCACCCTGATGCCCCTGTTACCTAGCAGTAAATAAGTACCTGGGAGTTAGACAGCTGCTACGGGCTGTTTCCTGGGGTGTGTGTAACAAAAAGGACTGGTCGAGGACCGGACCGTGGGGACGCTAAGCCCCGAAATCATCTCTAGATAACCTTAAGATAGCCATCAGGCTCCCTCATGCTATCAAGTCAGGTACTCACCTGAAGTTTGGTGTGTGTAAAGAGGTCAGGCTCGGCTCTGTGAACTTTGGTCCCACGTTCCGTGTTTATAGTCCTAGGGTGCAGGGATTGATCCCCGACGCAGACAGAAACAAATAGGCAGAGTTTCTTTCATCCTGATGCCTCTGTTCACCAAGCTGTAAATAGACACCTGCGAATTAGACAGCTGCTAAGGGCTGCTTCCTATGTGTGTGTGTGTGTGGGGGGGGGGGAATAGTTGATTGATTGACAGTTGTGAGGCGGACCGAAAGAGCAAGAGCTCAACCCCTACAAGCACAATTAGGTGAGTACACATTCTTTTGAACAAACATTGATTAATTGATTAATTGATTGATTGATTCATTCTTATATGATGGTTTGTGTTGTTGTGCAATAGGTTAGCGCCACCCATAGCCTTGACTGGTGCCGTGATGGCCACGCTGGCAAGGTTCCTGGTGTTCGGGCCCCTTGCCATGCACATTGAGCGGACCGTCGTGGAGATCTGTCAGCAGTACTGGTGGGCAGACTTCCTCTTTGCCACCAACTTTATGAATCATATGGTGAGTGTCTGCTGTCATACCCATGACACAAACATTAACATGACATTACTGATAATAAACCTTTCTGTGGATTGTCACGGCAGCACAGAGGCACAGCATCAATGGATTTCTTTTTCGTTCTCAGCGGTATTAGTTACAAACCTGAAGTTGGGATTTATAGATTAGGGTTATCATTTTGGTTACTTATCAAATTATCAGTGTAATATATAATTATTATCTTAAACGACATTACCATTATCATATATATATATATAATAATTTTCATAATTATAGCAATTTTCATAATTGTAGCAATTATCGTAATCCACATATTATGGAAAGTATCATTATATATAATTATCATATTTATCATAATCTGGTTCATTATTATCATTAGCATAATAACAATTATAGTCATTATAATTATCATTATCGTAATTATCATTATCTGTGTAATCATCATCATCATCATCTTTATCATTATTTTTTCAGAATTATCATCATTATCATCAACATTATCCTCATACTCTTCTTTGTCATAATTCCCCTAATTACCGTCATCCTCACCTTCCCTCTTATCAGCACGAGCATCTTGAGGTTATCTTGAGATGATTTCAGGGCTTAGCGTCCCCGCGGCCCGGTCCTCGACCAGGCCTCCCTTTTGTTACACATCCCCAGGACGCAGCCCGTAGCAGCTGTCTAACTCCCAGGTACCTATTTACTGCTAGGTGAATAGGATCATTAGGACCGAACCCGCAACCTTAGAACTACGAATCCCCAGCGCTGTCCATTTAGCCGTCAGGCCCCTACATCATAATATTCCCCTACTTCCTCTTGCTACATTTAACCACAGGTCCTCTGCTATATACTTAATAATGTCAATATTATGTAATTAGGTTATTAGGCTAGTTGTGTTTTATTTTATATATTTTTTTCTTCATTGAGGTTCAGGGGCCCACAAGTAAAGCAAAGTAATAAAGATTGCAAATATCAGCACTAATCAACCTGTCCTCAGGATGTCTGTGTCTTAGTGGTAATCACTAGAAAACTACTACTTAATTAGTGCTTTTATGTACTAAGTACCCGGGGATAGGTTAGGTTACATTACATTAGGTTAATACATAACAGTGTATTATTTTCAAGCATGTGAAGTATGAAATTCGAAAACTATTTGAGCTTCCCCTAATATATCACATTTAAAAATATAGACTTTGAAGCATATATAGAAAACGAGTTTACCATAAACTTTTTACACTATAAACCATCGATTTATAATGCAAAAAGTTATAACTTCGGAATATTTTCTGTTTAGAGCAGAGGTTCACTTGCCAGTTAACAGGTAGACTATTACTGGAACCGTATCAGACCACCACCAATATCTAGGTAACTATCCAGGTGGTATGGGACGTGTCTCAATGAGATCACTTTACCCAGAGAACGGGCTGCTAAAAACTCTCCCTCCATTCATTACATCTTCTGCACTACATAGTAAAGATTCACATAGAAACAGTACCATCAAACTACATACTGGAGCATCACCTAGAACCAATACCATCACACTACGTACTGGGGCATCACCTAGAACCAGTACCATCACCTAGAACCAGTACCATCACACTACATACTGGAGCATCACCTAGAACCAGTACCATCACACTACATACTGGGCCATCACATAGAACCAGTACCATCACACTACATACTGGGACATCACATACAACCAGTACCATCACTCAACATGCTCGACAATCGTGAAGAACCAGTACTCTCACACTACGTACTGAGGCATTGTGTACAACCAGTATCTTCACACTACTGTCACAATGCATACTGGAGCATCACATAGAAGCAGTCTGCACTCACGTAATCCACCAAGAATTTACACACAGGGAATCCACCAAGAGTCTGCACTCTCGTAATCCACCAAGAGTCTGCACTCACGCAATCCACCAAGAGTCTACACTCACATAATCCACCAAGAGTCTGCACTCACGTTATCTACCAAGAGTCTACACTCACCTAATCCACCAAGAGTCTGCACTCACGTTATCTACCAAGAGTCTGCACAGCTACAATGAGGGTGTGGAGGCTACCGACCACGGACTTTACCAGTTGAGGTCAGCCGCTTCCCTACTGATGTAATCATGGCTCGACTGGTTCATCCATCGAATCTGGCTGCAGAACAGAACTGACTTCTCTTCTCACTAATTGAACCAATACGCCAACTCTTAAAAGCCACATCTAGGCACATATCTTCTGGCCCTCCACACGACGACCCTTTGTGCAGGAGTTTGAAACCGTTCCCGGTGTCTATTCCGGCCACCAGCACTACCACCGGCGACATCAGAGTCGTCTTTGGCGGCACTGACAGATGACACCCGAGGTCCCTGATGTCTCGACCAGCCGGTGGCCCTCACAGACGACGCCCGGAATCCTTGATGTCTCAACCAGCCGGCGGCACTCACAGACGACACCCGGGGTCCTTGACGTCTCGACCAGCCGGCTTACAACAGAGACCTTTGGCTCACAACACATCAAGTCGAAGCGTAACCATCACACTGCATACTGGAGCATCTTGTAGAACTCGTATCATCACACTGCATACTGGTGCAGCATGTAGACCCAGCACTGTCACGCGGCACTACAGCATCGTGTAGAACTCGTACCATCACACTACATACTGAAGCATCAGATAGAATTAGTAGTGTAAAACTACATACTGCGGCATAACAAAAATTGGCACCATTACACACTAGCGTCACACTTCACAACCGTTTTGGGGATGAGCTTATTGGCTTGTTAACCTCTAGAAGGTGATTCAGGCCATGTGTGTGGGAAAAACTTGCCAGGATTGCTATGAGAGGAGAACTACCAGGGACTTGTACTGAACTAAATTAAAAATTACTGTCTGCAATTAATTCAACTAAAGTCTCTAGCTAGGGTCGTAAATCCTAGCTCCTCTTTTCCTAATGACAGATTGTGGGTTGTAAAGGGCAGGTGAGGTGAATGAATTAGTTGTTAGGTTGATTGAAGATCCACAGTTCACCTGCAGACAAGTATCTCACATCAGCTTGTATTTTATACAAGGATAAGATTTAATAAATTCAGTTCTATGACTGAAGACTGGTTCTGTTTAAATCAGAGATTTAAACATGTACATAGTCTAGCCTAGCACCATAACTATCAACAGCCAATATATTCTTATACAATAAACAACAATTTAAATTGTAGAATAAATGACCTTAAATGTAGTCTAAGTACTGTTACTAAGTACTAGAAATTATATTCAATTAAATGAACTTATATGATAACTTAAAGATAATTAAGTAAGCAATTGTTAACCTAATTTATATATTCAAGTATATATATAGATATAGATATATTTATATGAAGAGCTTCAGTCAGCCTGATTGAATTTTTTCCCACACAATGGACACTCATGAGGTTTTGTTTACTGTGACTGAATCTTTTTTCACACAAGGGACACTCATGAAGTTTTGTGCTTGGAAAAATTCAACTACTGCACTGCAATATTAATAAACTTACTGAAATATGAGGCGTTGCCTCACTCTATAACCGACAGACAGACTCATTTAATATATCAAAGTTACACAAGCATACAATTGGCCAATTAATATACTAAATAACATCAATATACTTCTCTGACTGCCGGGGTGCCTGTTTGACAGTGTGCCAGACTAGATAACTCTCTTGTCGCGAGTTTAGGCACGATATTTTATATCACAGCTTTGCTGTATGATGTTCTAGTAGCGTAGCTATGTGATTGTCCTTAATTGCAGATGCAGAAAGATGAGGGTGGAGGTGGAGACATTATCACTGTGTGCTTCACTATACACTCCTATTTGATATAAATGTTCTAGGAATTTTTCTTGTAGATATTGTCCAGGTACTCCCCCAGTTCTAGAGAGTAATCTCTGGTGATAAAGATAATTTAATAAGGTGTCCTGAGCTAAGTAATGTTCACAAGACACTATAACACTTGTTCACTCTTTTGTCAATAAATGCATTCTGCCTGGGGGCGTCCCAGTCCGTCACCTTGTTCCAAACATGCCCCTCCCTATCCCTTGAGAGGGATAGCTTCCAATGAACATTGATTGATTATTTTTACTGTCTAGACATATGATTGAGATAAGATGTGATTATAATATAATTAGATATAGGATTTAAAGATTATAAGTACTACTGGATAGTACTATTGATTCTTATTAAGGATTCCTTTTAACTCTACTGGAAATCGATTAAATTCATTCCAATAGTTTTTAATTAAGAATCCTTCTAGAAGCTTCTAGATCCTTGAGAGATCATGCACAAAGTCACGTAGGCATATATAGGGCCTTAGGGTGTACGTGATCCTAGTGGCATTGTCATCTAGGATCAAGATGTATAATGAATCTATAGTGATTCTGATATAATTTTGAACTGATTTTGATATGATATAGATATGATATAGAAATAATACATTTCTTAGATGAAAATATAGATATTGTGGGTAAAATTTCCCACAACGTGTAAGAGCTTGCTGTCCCTCCTCTAAGTATACATTGGTCCAAGAACTAAAAATCCCCAGAGACCTGAATGCTGCAGTATTAAAAGTTATGACAAGTTTTGTAATAATAGGTATTTGTATGGTCAGCACAGTAACTGGACCAGGCAATGAGATGTAGTCATTGCATGAATTTGCCTTGGCAATAGACACATCTGGCAGGTTAGTGAGGCTGAGCCACTACCAGATTATTCAGATTGTAAACTCTGTGATAAACCTTTAATGCATTCACTAGAACACTATATTGTTGAATGTGAAACCGTAAAAAACTTTAGACCGTTTGGCATATTGTACCAACAACTGTGTAACTATTTCATTGAATCTGGTGTACTGAACGACATCCTAACAATTTATCCAAAATTTGTGTGTCCGTTTTAAAGAATGAAGAACAGTTTTATTTATTTATTTTAAGTTGCATCACTTATGAACCTATCCCTGCCCTTGTGTGGCAGTGCACAATAGAAAGTTGCATTTACATATTCGTACATTAAAACATTAATTGTAACCATGATATATAAATGCTTTATCCTACGTAAACATATAGTCTTGTGTATGACCCTCTGTCATAATACCAGCATTATTCTCACTTTAATATGACTTAATTGAAATCCTCAGAATAGGCAAAATTGTAATTAAATTTTGTCCATAAAAATGTTAATAATAATAATAAGGTGTGTATGTAAGGGCAGTGGAACATGTTCTTAGTCATGGTTGTATAATTGCAGTGTCTGGCGCAGTGCTGGTACACGGCTGCCGATACACAGATCTACATTGTGCTTCCACTGGTGCTCGCGCCTCTTCTTTACAAGCGCAAGATTGGTGAGTGTTACAGCGTTACCATGTGAAGCCTTCAGAGGTGTGGGTACTATCTGTTTAAGGACATTAGTGCTTATATATTAATATAACATAAATTCTTCTTCATATTCCTTCTTCTCCAACCCCACCCCCCCCCCTCCCCTTGAGTACATTTTTTTTTAAATCTGGTGCTTATAGAACAAAACTGCTTTGTTATCAGCATATGAGTTTTGACTCTGCTATTGCTATTGTATCCAGGTGTTTTTCCTCTGTTCTTTTCTTCATCTAATTTGCTGCTTTAGAGAGCCCATCAACTGCGGGTGGTCACTGTGATTCATACTAACGTTCCTCCCCAGGACTTCCACTGCTGGGGTTGGTCACTGCGGTATCCTTCGCCATCCCAACGACACTGTCGGCTGTCTATAATGTACCTCCTGCATTAAACTTTATGTAAGTTGCTCATTATTCTTCAAATGCCTGGTTAATTTAGCTTAACCTCAGTTTTGCTTTATTTCCTGAAAAAATTATGACGTAAAAACACTTGGAATGTTGCTAAGTACATAAGCCTACTCTCCGCTTTAAAATTAGCTAGGTCTCTTACTAAATTACTAATCCTAATCTCCCCATCAAAGTCAGGTCTTATTGCAAAAACATTATTCTGAGAACTGTTTTTTTGTAAAGCATTGGACAATCATCCCTTCCAGTTCGGCCCATTACCCACGCAGCTGTCAACCCATTCACCACCCATCACCCACCCAGCTGTCAACCCATTCATCACCCACCCAGCTGTCAACCCATTCACCACCCATCACCCACCCAGCTGTCAACCCATCACCCACCTAGCTTTCAACCCATTCACCACCCATCACTTACCCAGCTGTCAACCTATTCATCACCCATCACCCACCCAGCTTTCGACCCATTCACCACCCATCACCCACCCAGCTGTCTACTCATCACCCATCCAGCTTTCAACCCATTCACCACCCATCACTTACCCAGCTGTCAACCTATTCACCACCAATCACCCACCCAGCTGTCAACCCATTCACCCACCCATCACCCACCCAGCTGTCAACCCATTCACCATCCAGCTGTCAACCCATTCACCACTCATCACCCACTCAGCTGTTAACCTCTCCTCCATCTCTCAGTCACGTAGCTGTCAACCCATCGACTTCCATTCAGCCATCCAGTGAACTGACAACACTCTGGGGTCCTATAATGACCTCAGTGGGGTCCTGTGGTGACCCCCAAAACCCTCCCTGGGGTCCATTGTTTATCCCAAGACCACCTGTGTACCTGCCACTCCCACTTATCGTCTCAGTAATGATGTTTTCGGCACTTTTCTTTTCCTATTTTTAGTTTATATAATCCTAAATGCACACAAGCATATACATATCCAAATGTATATGTATTCATGTATATCTTACATTCATGTGTTTGATGCATGTGAATGTGAAATGTCTTGGCTATGCCACATTCAGTTCACACTTATTCGTGTCATGAGCATCTAACTAAACAAGTATTCTTTTCCATGTTGTGTTATTTCAGTGTTTGTTTCATGATTTCTCTTAATAAAAATGTCATAATTATCATCTGTTGTGTTATTATTTAACATACAATTTTACTTATTATTTTGTATTTTCAATGCATAGATATTCAGCTATGAACATGTTTGAAAAATGTATGGAATATTTAATTTCTCAAACTTTATATATATATAAAAGAGACCTAGATTGAGTACTGCAATTTGGTCTAAAGTGTTTTGTTTACTGTGATAGAGACCCGGTTGAGGATCCGATTCGTCGCGTGGACACCTACATGACCCCGTGGTGTCGAGCCAACTCTTACCTGGTGGGTGTGTGGGCTGGCTGGCTCATCTACACTGTGCGAGGCCGCACCATCAAACTCAAGCTGGTAAGGACACGCTTAATTGCTTGCATTATAAACTGCAGCAGCCACGTATAGGCCCATAGACCTTCTGCAGTTTCTTCCATTCTTACGCTTTTAACTATGTCATCAATCTAACTATGTCCATTAAGTGTTCACATGTGCTACTTACATGCAAACTTATATGCAAATAATTTCATAATAACGTACCTGAATAAATACTGTAACCAACTCCCAACATGAATGGGTTCAGAATGGACTGAAACGTCTTCGCCATTTTAAAATTAGTTGTAAATCCTTCCCTCATATGTTGTTACCACAAAAAAGAGAAGGGGGGTTTATGTAAATACAAAAATTAAATTAAACTCCTGAAAGAAAATTAACAGCTTAGCTGTTAGTGAAAGTAGTTAGTGGGGGTCCTCTCCTTGAGTGGCTTCAGGTTGTGTGCGGGGAAGAAGACCCAGACAGGAATTATTGCTGCCCTCAATGACGAATTTCGCCGAATGTAGAAATGAAGGTCGGTTATCAGCAGAAACTAATGTGCCTCGCGGCCGATAAACACACAGACGGGCGATAATTGGGGAGCCCCAAGAGTCCCTCAGAGTGACAAGCACCGGCCCCGCCCCACACAGAGAACACTGGGGAGCCCCAAGAGTCCTTCAGAGTGACAAGCACCGGCCCCGCCCCACACAGAGAACACTGGGGAGCCCCAAGAGTCCCTCAGAGTGACAAGCACCGGCCCCGCCCCACACAGAGAACACTGGGGAGCCCCAAGAGTCCCTCAGAGTGACAAGCACCGGCCCCGCCCCACACAGAGAACACTGGGGAGCCCCAAGAGTCCCTCAGGGTGACAAGCACCGGCTCCGCCCCACACAGAGAACACTGGGGGAGCAAAACCAAAAACTCGGACCCAACTAAAGCGCAAGTCATCCAGTCATTTCCGCCCAACCACTTGGGCTGGACGGTAGAGCGACGGTCTCGCGTCATGCAGGTCAGTGTTCAATTCCCGACTGTCCAAGTGGTTGGGCACCACTGCTTCCCCGCCGTCCCATCCCAAATCCTTATCTGATCCCTTCCCAATGCTTTATAGTCGTAATAGCTTGGCGCTTTTCCCCCTGTTAGTTTCCTTCCCTTCCCAGTGCCCTCCGACAGAGCAGATGCCAGCCGCCCACCACGGCTGAGGGCAAACCGGGAGCCCACCAACTCCTTGCACCTCTCGGCCAAGCCGGCGCCGAACACCGACACCCCGCCAGAAAACGTAAAAAATCTATCACCTATCCTGTGACCCAAGGCAATTTGTGCGCCAGGCGTCGTAACAATCCGTACCGTTGAATAGGGATGGCAAACGGCAGTATCAAATCCATAATCGTGAAACAAACGTGATCCGGCAGCTCCCAGGCGGAGGATGCGTCCAGACGTCCGCTTGTCGTCAAGGTTGAACCAGCGAACCTGGTGACTGTTGTTGTTGTTGATTTAGGGGCGAGGACGATCGTGAGATCGGATACGCCCTGGCGTACCCGTGATGGGTTAATCGCGAAGCCCGGAAAGGTGAAAAGCCAAGTCTAATTGCGAAACGGGTGACGTCAATCACATGAAACTATTATGCTTCGTGGCAAAGAAACGCAAACGGGTAGATGGTTGGGGAGCCCCAGGAGTCCCTCAGGGTGATAAGCACCGGCCCCGCCCCATACAAAGAACCAAGGGTAGCAAAACCAAAACTCGGCCCCCAACTAAAACGCAAAAGTCATCCAGTGTCCCCCGGCAGAGTAGAAGCCAGCTGCCCACCACTGCTCAGGGCACACCAGGACCCCACCAACCCCCGGCACCTCTCGGCCAAGCTGGCTCTGAACACCGTCACCCCACCAGGAGAACCAGCCAGAACACGTCAAAAAAATCTATCAACAATCCCGTGACCCAAGGCGATATATGAGCCAGGCGCCGTACACCTGGACCGTTGAATAGAGATGAAAACGGCTGTAGCAAAGTCAAAACGCGAAAACAGAACGTGATCAGCCGACTCCCAGGCGGAGGAGGTGTCCAGACGTCCGCTCGTCGTCAAGGTTGAACCAGCGAACTTGCTGACTGTTGTTGTTGTTGAGTTAGGGGCGACGACGATCGTGGGATCGGATGCGCCCCGGCGTACCCGTGAAGGGTGAATCACAAAGCCAGGAAAGGCAAAATGCCAAGCCAAAACGCGAAACGAGTGACGCCAAGCACTAGAAACTAATACGCCACACGGCAAAGCAACGCACAAAGGGAGAGGCAGAAGCACATAATAGAACAGGGCAAACAAACAGCCAGAAGGGCACACAGCATGTCATAGAGCAAATACACAGGAAATCAGAGCACATACTTGCCCGGGAACCTGGCCCGCGGGAGCCGTACATTAAATGCCTCCCAGAACACCCATTGCAATGGGTCCCGTCCATCCACCGGGGACGCCATAACATCTGGAACCGGGGCAACAAACACCTGCAAACAGGGGACCCAGATGGTAGTACTCATGAGGCGAGAAGTCGCTACTCGCCCCCACATGAAGGGAACTTGCCCACCATGAAAGCACTCCGGTCCGTCAGACAGCAGTAACTCAGCAATCTTCGACCAGTGACCCGGCGGCATCACAGACGCCAGCAACACGTCCCCTAGGGCCCCAACGCGCACCCGCGGCCCCGGGCACACCACCAGACGACAGCAGGGAACCCGGATGGCGCGCATCCTTCCGTAACGTCACCACCAGGCCACGCCCAGCACCAGAGTCCACACCATCCCTGGCAGCAGAAGCCACCACCCCCCACTGTGGAGAGTCCCCCGGCAGAGAAAGAACCGAAGGCACGTCCGAGACACAGGCACCAGCACCAGCAGGCACATGGACCTCCGCCACCATGAACCGCGGAGACATCGACGCATCCGTATCCACACTGTCAATACCCGAAGACCCGCGGTCACTGAAGTCACCAACGTCGGCCCAGGCAGAAGACGAACGCCGGGAACGTTTGGGCACCGGCTGGATATCGTCAGAGCTGGTAAGCGACCCAGAAACACGGGTACCACGAGCCGGAGGAACTGACGCCCGACACAGAACGGCAGCAGCTTCTACCACAGGGGAAACCGGGCCACGCACAGCGGGAGGCTCCGCAGCCACCCCAGCACCAAGCACATCCAGGACCCGAGTCACGGACACAGGGCCAGGTGCAGCATCAGAAGACGAGGGAGAAGACAGCGACGTCACACAGGGAGTTCCAGGAAGGCCCACGGGAGCAGCTGGAACAGCGACAGGATCAGGCAGACCAACCGACGGTACCTCAAGAACCGGAGGAGGGACGGCAACAACCGGAGGAACGGCAGGCTCCGCTCGGGAAGCTGCAGCAGCAAATGGGACGCGCACCACCTCATCAACATCACCGGAGACTGCCTCCAGAGGGAGCGGCGTGAAATCCTCGTCGCGGAACAAGTTGACAGGAGCAGCAGGGGCCTCAGAGCACCCGGCAGCCTGATGCCCCAACAGGCCACACCGGAAACAGGTACGAGGCTGCCGGGCATAATACACCCGGACGTAGTATCCCATAAGCCGGACAGAAAAAGGTATATCCGACCACAGGCGCATCCCCAACGTGCGAATGTTTGTACGCCTCCCAGCATACCGCCCCGAGGAGAGTGTGTTCACCTGCACGCTGACAACAGTACCAAACCCCCCGAAGTAACACCGGAGGAGGTCATCAGGGAACTCCAAGGGCGCACCATGGATACTGACATAAGTCAGGGCACCACTGCGGTCCGAAATCGCCACAGAGCCGGCATCGTCTGGCAACGGCAACGTACGCCCCCCGTACCGACGGAGGAAGTCCCAGTTCTCGTCCTCCCCCACGAACCTAATAACAACCCGATGGGCCGTAACTAGCTCCACACTGTAAACAGCTTTCACCGGGATACGAAGCATGTCACACATCACCATCTCAATGGTCGGATAACCAGCCTTACAAGTGAACTCCAGGCCCACGGAGTTCACACGCTGAACAGGAGGAAGATGGCCCCCCATGTCAGAACTGCCACGTCAACGCAGCCAGGCAGGCAACAAAACTGGTAGGGCAGGGACGCCCACACCACCTGGCGACCAAAACAGCAAACAACTCCAACAGACATGGAGGGTCGGTAAACGTCCTCACTCCACGGCCGCTAGCAGTCGACCAACTTGCTGACTGTTGTTGTGTGAGACTGGCGTGCTGACGACGCTTCACCTCTAGGTGGCAATGAGTGAGGTGGGTGTATCTTGCCCGCTCTCCATTAAACTCTTGATATTAACTCATGATTGCCTAATTTATCCGTCCTAACGGCTTACTACCCAAAGTATTATTCATATTGAACTATTTTTTATTTGTATTATTAATATCGATCATTTTTAAATGGTAATTTGATTAATGTAACCTGAAAAGGGTACTACCGGCAAGGGTTAATTACCGGCACCTATCGGTTCTCTTTGGCGTCATGCGACGTCTGATTTCGCTAAATCGACTTTTCTTTCGTTACTGCCCACAGTAATATGGTCTGACATCTAAAAATGGCTAGACCCGCGCCATGTGCTCCATTGTGTTTATAATACACCTATAGGCCATGCCTAACTTAACCTTAAGTGGATATTTTCCCACAGCCTTCATTTGAGGTATGTGTTGTTCTACCTAGTGTGTCTCGTATGTGCGTATGGAAGTTGCCTCTCGGCAGCTATACATGATACTCTGGTTATATTAATGCTTGGTTAACACATTTCTGAAAATACTGAGCCTGTTTCTAATGTTACTAGATGGGGTTCCCTCTAGAAGGGGAATGATGTTGGGGGAGTTGGGATGTTTGGGGAAAGGGAAGAAGAGGAGGGAGGAGGAAGGTGAAGAGGGAAGGAAAGAGGATGGGGGAGATTGGGAATGAGAGTGGAAAGGGAAGGAGAGCTAGAGAGGGGGATTTTGGGGGACAAAAGGGGAGAAGGGGGATAGGGAAGGATAGATGAGAGTGTAAGAGAGATTAATAGAGAGGGGGAAGTATCATAGGATTAAGCCTGTACGACTATATCAACTCGTCCTCCTGAAGTGAGAGTACTTACAGTAACCAGTTGGTCGTAAGTACCAATATGTAGTGATGGATCACCAAAACCTTCATTTTTTTGTACTTTGAATTGAATAGTCCTGAAAAATAAAGCCAAAACTATACTTAAATATTCCTAAGTCTAGTGTAGCACATATATGTAATATATTAGGCCTAAGATAGCGTGTTTTAGGCCTAGGGGTGCTAGGATAGGTCTTATATTTATTTTGTCGTTCAAAAATTTCACATTTGTCCAAATTTAATAACAAAGTCAAATTTTTTGCCAGTCCATCACGATATATTGGTAGTGACCAAATGGTTGCTGTAAGTACCTTCATAGTAGGAGGATGGGTCGGACCACATAGTACTACGTGCTGGGATATGTGGACAAGGTGCTGGGATATGTGGACAAGGTGCTGGGATATGTGGACAAGGTGCTGGGATATGTGGACAAGGTGCTGGGATATGTGAACATGGTACTGGGATAAGACGAAGGGAAGGAGTGGTGCCCAACCACTTGGACTGGTCGGTACACAAGTGGTCTGGTTTCTTGCGTATCAAACGTCGGCGTTCGATTCGCGAGATGCTAACAATGAATAAATAATTAAGTGCAATACCACACAAGGTAAGTAATGGTGATATATTTAATACGAGAGTTTTGGAGGGATGGTGGAGTAAGACACAGTTCCTCTCTGTGACCCCAAACAATCACAGTCCTTCCATGACCAGTAATATTTGCCTCTCCCGCTGGGTGTAGTGGCAGACGGTGTTGGGGTGGGCTGCGGCGACGACGGTGGCCTCGCTGGTGCTGTACGGGATGGCCAGGTACGACACCTGGGGGGACGACCAGGTGCCCCTCCCTCGCGCCCCCAGCATCATCTACGCGGGCTTCAGCCGGGGCGCCTGGTGCCTCGCCCTCCTCTGGCTCGTCTTTGCTTGTCATACTGGAAATGGAGGTGAGAGACATTTGTGGCTTGACGACTTGTCAATGTGTCGTATAGAGATTATTTATAGGTAGGAACTGAGGCATTTATAGGTAGGACTCTGAGGACAATAACGTTTCTGGACAAATGAATACTAGTTTACTTGTCGGACGGGCGACCTGGGCACGATAATAGAATAATGAAAATAAATATATATAAATTGTTTTAAAATGCACGCATTAATTAATTTATGTTATGAAATTATTGCACGTGTTTACACACACACACACACACACACTACCAATCCTGGAGTATGCGGCCCCAGCATGGAGCCCGTACCTTGTCAAGCACAAGACGAAGCTGGAAAAAGTCCAAAAGTATTCTACTAGACTAGTCCCAGAACTAAGAGGCATGAGTTATGAGGAAAGGCTGCGGGAAATGCACCTTACGACACTGGAAGACAGAAGAGTAAGGGGGGACATGATCACAACCTACAAAATCCTCAGGGGAATCGACCGGGTAAACAAGGATGAACTATTCAACACTGGTGGGACGCGAACAAGGGGACACAGGTGGAAGCTGAGTACCCAAATGAGCCACAGAGACGTTAGAAAGAACTTTTTCAGTGTCAGAGTAGTTAGTAAATGGAATGCATTAGGAAGTGATGTGGTGGAGGCTGACTCCATACACAGTTTCAAATGTAGATATGATAGAGCCCAATAGGCTCAGGAATCTGTACACCAGTTGATTGACGGTTGAGAGGCGGGACCAAAGAGCCAGAGCTCAACCCCCGCAAGCACAATTAGGTGAGTACACACACACACACACACACACACACACACACACACACACACACACACACACACACACACACACACACACACACACACACACACACACACACACACACACACACACATAAGGGAGTACCTAAGCAACAGAAGACAGCGAGTCACTGTGTGGTGAGGTCTCAGAGTGGCGAGGCGTCACCAGTGGAGTCCCGCAGGGTTCAGTCCGTGGACCTATACTGTTTCTGATATATGTACATGATCTCCCAGAGGGTATAGACTCGTTCCTCTCAATGTTTGCTGATGATGCAAAAATTATGAGGAGGATTAAGACAGAGGAAGATAGTAAGAGGCTACAAGAGGACCTAAACAAACTGAATGAATGACCAGGCATTTGGCAAGCTGCAAATTTAGCATCTTTATACACGAATGAAAACAGAGGAGAAAAGGTTAACTACAGGTGTTGCTGAAATTGTTCCCTGCAAAACTTGGCAACATTACAAAAACTCGTTTCTAAGTATTATTATCGATTCAGTAGATTATTATTTTTACATAATCCATTACTTTTATGACAAAATGATAATATGGGCGCGAGATATCGAGAACATTCGAATTAGCACTGCATCACTTGCCTGTTACTAAACCCATACTAGGCGGGTCCCCTGCATATTCCATGAATATCTGAGAGCGTTTGACACCATCTTGTGTGAAGTGCTCATATAAATACTTGATAACAAAGCCAATGCATCTGTGAAGGTGTTGGGATGGTCGAGGGGATGCCTCTCGGATAGGAAACAGAGAAAAGAAGAGAGAAGATAGAGACGCAACAGGTTACAAGTGGAAAGCTTTGGAGATCGGAAATGGTACTCAGTTTGTTGTTTAATTGTGGTACCAGCCTGAGAGAGGACCTGGATTGTGGTACCAGCCTGAGAGAGTTCTTGGATTGTGGTACCAGCCTGAGAGAGGCCCTGGATTGTGGTACCAGCCTGAGAGAGGACCTGGATTGTGGTACCAGCCTGAGAGAGTTCTTGGATTGTGGTACCAGCCTGAGAGAGGACTTGGATTGTGGTACCAGCCTGAGAGAGGACCTGGATTGTGGTACCAGCCTGAGAGAGGACCTGGATTGTGGTACCAGCCGGAGCGAGGACTTGGATTGTGGTACCAGCCTGAGAGAGGACCTGGATTGTGGTAACAGCCTGAGAGAGGACCTGGATTGTGGTACCAGTCTGATAGAGGACCTGGATTGTGGTACCAGCCTGATAGAGGACTTGGATTGTGGTACCAGCCTGATAGAGAACCTGGATTGTGGTACCAGACTGAGAGAGGACTTGGATTGTGGTACCAGCCTGATAGAGGACTTGGATTGTGGTACCGGCCTGTGAGAGGACCTGGATTGTGGTACCAGCCTGAGAGAGGACCTGGATTGTGGTACCAGCCTGATAGAGGACTTGGATTGTGGTACCGGCCTGTGAGAGGACCTGGATTGTGGTACCAGCCTGAGAGAGGACCTGGATTGTGGTACCAGCCTGATAGAGGACTTGGATTGTGGTACCAGCCTGATAGAGGACCTGGATTGTGGTACCAGCCTGAGAGAGGACTTGGATTGTGGTACCAGCCTGATAGAGGACCTGGATTGTGGTACCAGCCTGATAGAGGACTTGGATTGTGGTACCAGCCTGATAGAGGACCTGGATTGTGGTACCAGCCTGAGAGAGGACTTGGATTGTGGTACCAGCCTGATAGAGGACTTGGATTGTGGTACCAGCCTGAGAGAGGACTTGGATTGTGGTACCAGCCTGAGAGAGGACCTGGATTGTGGTACCAGCCTGAGAGAGGACTTGGATTGTGGTACCAGCCTGAGAGAGGACTTGGATTGTGGTACCAGCCTGATAGAGGACCTGGATTGTGGTACCGGCCTGAGAGAGGACTTGGATTGTGGTACCAGCCTGAGAGAGGACCTGGATTGTGGTACCAGCCTGAGAGAGGACTTGGATTGTGGTACCAGCCTGATAGAGGACCTGGATTGTGGTACCAGCCTGAGAGAGGACTTGGATTGTGGTACCAGCCTGATAGAGGACCTGGATTGTGGTACCAGCCTGAGAGAGGACTTGGATTGTGGTACCAGCCTGAGAGAGGACCTGGATTGTGGTACCAGCCTGAGAGAGGACTTGGATTGTGGTACCAGCCTGAGAGAGGACCTGGATTTGTGGTACCAGCCTGAGAGAGGACTTGGATTGTGGTACCAGCCTGATAGAGGACTTGGATTGTGGTACCAGCCTGAGAGAGGACTTCGATTGTGGTACCAGCCTGAGAGAGGACCTGGATTGTGGTACCAGCCTGAGAGAGGACTTGGATTGTGGTACCAGCCTGAGAGAGGACTTGGATTGTGGTACCAGCCTGATAGAGGACCTGGATTGTGGTACCAGCCTGAGAGAGGACTTGGATTGTGGTACCAGCCTGAGAGAGGACTTGGATTGTGGTACCAGCCTGAGAGAGGACCTGGATTGTGGTACCAGCCTGAGAGAGGTCTTGGATTGTGGTACCAGCCTGAGAGAGGACCTGGATTGTGGTACCAGCCTGAGAGAGGACCTGGATTGTGGTACCAGCCTGATAGAGGACCTGGATTGTGGTACCAGCCTGAGAGAGGACTTGGATTTGTGGTACCAGCCTGAGAGAGGTCTTGGATTGTGGTACCAGCCTGAGAGAGGACCTGGATTGTGGTACCAGCCTGAGAGAGGTCTTGGATTGTGGTACCAGCCTGAGAGAGGACTTGGATTGTGGTACCAGCCTGAGAGAGGACCTGGATTGTGGTACCAGCCTGAGAGAGGTCTTGGATTGTGGTACCAGCCTGAGAGAGGACTTGGATTTGTGGTACCAGCCTGAGAGAGGACTTGGATTGTGGTACCAGCCTGATAGAGGACCTGGATTGTGGTACCAGCCTGAGAGAGGACTTGGATTGTGGTACCAGCCTGAGAGAGGACTTGGATTGTGGTACCAGCCTGAGAGAGGACCTGGATTGTGGTACCAGCCTGAGAAAGGTCTTGGATTGTGGTACCAGCCTGAGAGAGGACCTGGATTGTGGTACCAGCCTGAGAGAGAACCTGGATTGTGGTACCAGCCTGATAGAGGACCTGGATTGTGGTACCAGCCTGAGAGAGGACTTGGATTGTGGTACCAGCCTGAGAGAGGACTTGGATTGTGGTACCAGCCTGAGAGAGGACCTGGATTTGTGGTACCAGCCTGAGAGAGGACCTGGATTTGTGGTACCAGCCTGAGAGAGGACTTGGATTGTGGTACCAGCCTGAGAGAGGTCTTGGATTGTGGCACCAGCCTGAGAGAGGTCTTGGATTGTGGTACCAGCCTGAGAGAGGTCTTGGATTGTGGTACCAGCCTGAGAGAGGACCTGGATTTGTGGTACCAGCCTGAGAGAGGACCTGGATTTGTGGTACCAGCCTGAGAGAGGACTTGGATTGTGGTACCAGCCTGAGAGAGGACTTGGATTGTGGTACCAGCCTGAGAGAGGTCTTGGATTGTGGTACCAGCCTGAGACAGGACTTGGATTGTGGTACCAGCCTGAGAGAGGTCTTGGATTGTGGTACCAGCCTGAGAGAGGACTTGGATTGTGGTACCAGCCTGAGAGAGGACCTGGATTTGTGGTACCAGCCTGAGAGAGGACCTGGATTTGTGGTACCAGCCTGAGAGAGGACTTGGATTGTGGTACCAGCCTGAGAGAGGACTTGGATTGTGGTACCAGCCTGAGAGAGGTCTTGGATTGTGGTACCAGCCTGAGAGAGGACTTGGATTGTGGTACCAGCCTGAGAGAGGTCTTGGATTGTGGTACCATCCTGAGAGAGGACTTGGATTGTGGTACCAGCCTGAGAGAGGTCTTGGATTGTGGTACCAGCCTGAGAGAGAACCTGGATTTGTGGTACCAGCCTGAGAGAGGACCTGGATTTGTGGTACCAGCCTGAGAGAGGACTTGGATTGTGGTACCAGCCTGAGAGAGGACTTGGATTGTGGTACCAGCCTGAGAGAGGACCTGGATTTGTGGTACCAGCCTGAGAGAGGACCTGGATTTGTGGTACCAGCCTGAGAGAGGACCTGGATTGTGGTACCAGCCTGAGAGAGGACTTGGATTGTGGTACCAGCCTGAGAGAGGACTTGGATTGTGGTACCAGCCTGAGAGAGGACCTGGATTATTCATATTGATATTTGCAGACGATACAAAAACTGGTGAAAATAATAAGAAAATAAGACCTGGATGTGTATATGGATATGCAGTAGCGGATTATCATGCAATATAGTGAAGTTATTTGTGTAGTGTTTTGGTGAATATAATATTTAACACTTATTTATTTTTTTTGTCAAGCGACTTAACAATGTTCAGGCGATGAGTCACAATAACGTCAACGACGACGACGAAACGTCGTCGTCCCTTCACCTTCTAGTGTGTGGTCTGGACAACTTAACATTGTTGTTTAATTTTGACTTAGTAAATGGCGTCTGTCTGCAGGTCTGATCAACTCGTTCCTGTCTCACCCGTCCTGGCAGCCTCTGAGCCGTCTGACCTACACACTCTACCTCACCGCTGTGCCTCTTCAGTACTTGTTTCCCGGCCAGGTCTACCTGCCTCTCTACATCAACCATCTCAATATGGTCGGTACTCCTAGAAGACGTGTGTCATTTGTATTGCGTCAAGATATATTATGAGATGTAGATGATGCCTCTCATCTACCTGCCTTTCTCTCTCTCTCTCTCTCTCTCTCTCTCTCTCTCTCTCTCTCTCTCTCTCTCTCTCTCTCTCTCTCTCTCTCTCTCTCTCTCTCTCTCTCTCTCTCTCTCTCTCTCTCTCTCTCTCTCTCTCTCTCTCTCTCTCTCTCTCTCTCTCTCTCTCTCTCTCTCTCTCTCTCTCTCTCTCTAACTGATAGTGATCGCTAACTGCTTCACTATTGAGCAAATCATGCTCTCTCGTCCAATGTTCATACACATTAAATAACCAAATCTGTTGCTAACAGATGTGTTTAAGTGTGTATTATGCATAGTTAGTGTATTACCATAAACATTAGATGTTTACCACTGTATTATACCATTATATAAGACCACTAACGCTCCTAGACAATGTTATATAGGCCTAGACCATCCGACTTAGATATCACAAAACTTTTACCTTCAGATGAGTTAGACTCAAATATTAATTTTATAAGGTAAATTACTCTGTAAGAGAGATGCTCGAGTGGTTCTAAGCTGCTAACTTAGTCCTGAGTCACAATATATAACTGACTCTTGATCCAACAGATTGTTTATGCGTGCGGCTTCCTGTTTATTGGAGGAATACTGGCGGTGTTGCTGTCTGTTATGACGGAGGGACCCGTTATAGGCCTGGAGAAGCTCCTCCTGCACCGCCCAGGTCAGTCTATACATGGGGGAGGCGGCCAGCGTCCAGGTATACATGGGGGAGGCGGCCAGCGACCAGGTATACATGGGGGAGGTGGGCAGCGTCCAGGTATACATGGGGGGGGGGCGTGCACCGCCCAGGTCAGTCTATACATGGGGGAGGCGGCCAGCGTCCAGGTATACATGGGGGAGGCGGCCAGCGACCAGGTATACATGGGGGGGGGGGCGTGCAGCGGCCAGGTATACATGGGGGGGGGCAGCGGCCAGGTATACATGGGGGGGGGCGGGCAGCGGCCAGGTATACATGGGGGGGGGCGGGCAGCGGCCAGGTATACATGGGGGAAGGTGGGCAGCGGCCAGGTATACATGGGGGAAGGTGGGCAGCGGCCAGGTATACATGGGGGAGGCGGCCAGCGACCAGGTATACATGGGGGGGGCGGGCAGCGGCCAGGTATACATGGGGGAGGCGGCCAGCGGCCAGGTATACATGGGGGGGGGGTCGGGCAGCGACCAGGTATACATGGGGGGGGGCGGGCAGCGGCCAGGTATACATGGGGGGGCAAGCAGCGGCCAGGTATACATGGGGGGGGCGGGCAGCGGCCAGGTATACATGGGGGGGGGCGGGCAGCGACCAGGTATACATGGGGGGGGCGGCCAGCGACCAGGTATACATGGGGGGGGGCGGGCAGCGGCCAGGTATACATGGGGGAGGCGGCCAGCGGCCAGGTATACATGGGAGGAAGGTGGCCTGCGGCCAGGTATACATGGGGGGGGCGGGCAGCGGCCAGGTATACATGGGGGAGGCGGCCAGCGGCCAGGTATACATGGGGGAAGGTGGGCAGCGGCCAGGTATACATGGGGGGGGGCGGCCAGCGACCAGGTATACATGGGGGGGGGGCGGGCAGAGGCCAGGTATACATGGGGGGGGGGCGGGCAGCGGCCAGGTATACATGGGGGAGGCGGCCAGCGGCCAGGTATACATGGGAGGAAGGTGGCCAGCGGCCAGGTATACATGGGGGGGAAGGTGGGCAGCGTCCAGGTATACATGGGGGGAAGGTGGGCAGCGTCTAGGTATACATGAGGGGGGGAAGGTGGCAGCGTCCAGGGGGGGGGCGGGCAGCGGCCAGGTATACATGGGGGAGGCGGCCAGCGGCCAGGTATACATGGGGGAAGGTGGGCAGCGGCCAGGTATACATGAGGGGGGGGGGGGGGGGCGGGCAGCGACCAGCGACCAGGTATACATGGAGGGGGGCGGCCAGCGACCAGGTATACATGGGGGGGCGGGCAGCGGCCAGGTATACATGGGGGAGGCGGCCAGCGGCCAGGTATACATGGGAAGAAGGTGGCCAGCGGCCAGGTATACATGGGGGGGGGCGGCCAGCGACCAGGTATACATGGGGGGGGCGGGCAGCGGCCAGGTATACATGGGGGGGGCGGGCAGCGGCCAGGTATACATGGGGGAGGCGGCCAGCGACCAGGTATACATGGGGGAGGCGGCCAGCGACCAGGTATACATGGGGGAGGCGGCCAGCGACCAGGTATACATGGGGGAGGCGGCCAGCGACCAGGTATACATGGGGGAGGCGGCCAGCGACCAGGTATACATGGGGGGGGGCGGGCAGCGGCCAGGTATACATGGGGGGGGGCGGGCAGCGGCCAGGTATACATGGGGGAGGCGGCCAGCGACCAGGTATACATGGGGGAGGCGGCCAGCGGCCAGGTATACATGGGGGAGGCGGCCAGCGACCAGGTATACATGGGGGAAGGTGGTATTGAGGTATTGGTGTGTTAGTACAGCATAATGTCCTCCTGAAGATGTCACATCGCTGACGATATGTCGAAAAATGGAAAGTTTACGTGATCTAATGTTTCTTCGCCCATTAGATGGTAGAAGATATTTGCGTTGAATGGAAAATATCCACAAGAAAATAAATATTTGTCATAATACTGTTGTGTTTAATGACATGTATACAGTATATGCAATTACATATAAGTACATATAATTCTCTTCCTTTTGTCAGGACGAGGATTGAGTGATGTACCAGACGAGACTAAGATTACCAGAAAATGAAGTGCCACGTTCCTCTCTACATCATGTGGACCAGTGTCACGTTCCTCTACATCATGTGGACCAGTGTCACGTTCCTCTCTACATCATGTGGACCAGTGTCACGTTCCTCTCTACATCATGTGGACCAGTGTCACGTTCCTCTCTACATCATATGGACCAGTGTCACGTTCCTCTCTACATCATGTGGACCAGTGTCACGTTCCTCTCTACATCATGTGGACCAGTGTCACGTTCCTCTCTACATCATGTGGATCAGTGCCACGTTCCTCTTTACTGACCCGAAAAAATTGTCACTTGTAAGCAATAGTTTACCACTTGTGAACCTTGTAAACACTGCTCTTTGTCAGGTTTATGAACACCATCACCCACGACAAAATCACTCTTAAATTTCTCATGTGAAATGTGAGAAATTGTACAACATTGATGTACTGTGCCTGCAGGAACCATACATTGCAAGCACAAAAAATAAAACGCCACTTAAACTCCCAGGTTATGTAGCATTCTCAAATGTTGGTTCCCATGATGTCGGTATCTTGACGTATGTTAAAAGTAACCTAGTGTGTAAACATGTTAACCCACAAAAGTGACGACTCATATTACCAGCAGTTTCAGATTGCTACAGCGACCGGCTTTATTAATTTAGTTAATATATATGTAAAGTGCGATCATATGGTGGAAGTTTCTCTTCCAACAATCACCAGCAGCTCTCAAACCATTGTCATGGATGATTTTAATGCTAGACACACTAGCCTGGGTGACACTAAAACAAATAGAAATGATAAAGTTTTTGTGAAATACTTAAGAGACAATAACATGTCCGTGTTCAACTTTGACTCCTCTAACGTCACACACCTCAGGGGTGGCAGGCTTGATTATGTCATTGGTCACGGCCTCATGGATAATGCTGTCGGAGGATCAATTGTTCAGGAATTAGTTAGTGATCACTTTGCCATATTCAGTTTATACACATCAATAATGTCAAATTATTAAGTCTTGAAAAAATCAATATCCCTGAAAATTTACACATGCACTTCAAATTCCGCATTTCCGAATGGTATAACACTTACTGCTTTACTACCGTCAACGCATTATATGAGGACCTGGTCACTGAAGTAACCGCTTTTTATGACAATGTTGTAAAATCCACAAGACCCAAACCAGTGAGGAAGGGACAGAGGTGGTTCACTGACTCACGCCTTAAGCCCCTGCATGACAGAGTTCTATTCCTAGCTGAGCAGTATAAAACACATAAAACAGCTGACACCCTCAACATATTTCTTAAAGCCAGCCGAGAGTTTAGAGAGCTAAAGGAACAGGTGTATAACCAGCACTGGGAACAGTTTCTGCAAGGCATCAATCATGCAACATCCTCATCCCAAATGTGGAATAGAATTAAAAAGATTTCTCATCCTAGCAGTCGTCAACTTGATCACCATTCACCTGTAGACTATACCGACATGCTGCTTCAACAATATGCAAGCACTGCTAGTATAAGCAGCCTGCCCCTAGATGTACAACACCATCTGGCTAGTACCAAAATAAATCGTAACGTCAATATTAAAATTGCCTGTAGTGAAATAGGGCCTGATGATAACTATGGCATAACCCCCTTTGAAATTAAAAATGCACTCAAGAAAGGTAAGACTACCTCTCCTGGAGAGGATGGCATCACATACAACACCATGAGAGTACTTGCTGAGCTGCCAAATAGCCCTTTGCTAGAATTGTTTAATCAAAGTCTAAGGCAGGGTGTTTTACCTGACCGCTGGACACAGGGACTCATAATACCCATACCCAAGCCTAATTCACAAAAATTCAGACCCATTTCTCTGACGTCGTGCATGTGTAAAGTTCTTGAGAGGATTATACTCGCAGACTAATGTTTCAAATTAGGCCCCACCTTGTTCCTAATCTGTATGGTTTCCTTCCTGGAAGAAGCACACAAAGCTGCTTTGCTGAATATTTTATCAGAGAGGGACCAAGCTCTCAGGAGGCCTTTATTGATCTCCAAACTGCTTTTGATACAGCAAACAGAGAAATAATCCTAGAACAGCTAGCCTCTTTTGGAGTTAAGGGAAGACTGTTGACATGGCTCAGGGGTTACCTGAGTAACAGAACCGCCTCAGTCCTTTTCAAGGGGGTCAAAAGTAAACATTGTGCACCCTTTGGGTTGGGTACACCCCAGGGTGGAGTGCTAAGTCCTACACTGTTCCATGTTCTGATACTCAATTAACAATTGATATTCCCACACTACCTGACGAAGCCGTCATTTGTTATGCCGATGATATATGCATTGTTGCAAATTCCCAAACTAGACTGCAAGCTCTACTTGATTCATTCGCTGCTAAAAGCATTGAATGTGCTCCTGTTATCTCTATAACTAAATCCAGAGCTCTCCATCCCCAAGAGAAAACTCATGTCCCTCTAACTTTCAAGGTCAACAACCAGAACATTGAACCGTGTTGGCAGCACAAATACCTTGGAGTTGGTATTAACAGTGACATTGTAAACGATCTACACTGTAGGTTAAAATAAAGACTTAAACCACTGAAAACACTTACTGGTAAGAATATTGGTATCAATATTAAATATGCTAGATTATTTTATATGATGTTTGTTAGATCTCTCGTTGATTATAATGCTTTGCACCTAATTAACTTCCCCGCCTCTGTGTTGGACAAACTTGAAGAAGTGTAGAATGAAGCCATGAGGATAATTCTTTTTTTCCCCAAGATGCACAAGAATCATCAACATGAGGGAAGAACTGAAGCTTCCAACCATACTAGAGAGAATCTTGCAAGTCAACACGACCTTTTGCCTTAGTCATGAGAGACCCTTCATCTCCTGCATTCCTCAGAGACAAATTATTTAGTGCTGTTAACACCCTATTGACTGGTGCCGACATACCAACTCACTCCTTTTATGATAATTGGCTGAGCAAAAATGCCTACAATCTAATCAAACTCAACATTCCTTTCAAGTGTAATCTACCTGTCTCCGATATTCCTCTTTATCTATACCACACCATTCAAGTATCATACACACCTGTCACCAACAACTGGCTGACCTCCACACAAGCAGAACTAGCAGCATTACACTTAGCTACCAGTACATTAAAATCATTGGAGGAGGAATAATATTTTGTGATTCAAAATCTGTTCTTCAAGCAATCGAAAACTTCTCCTGGAAGATCGACAGCAAGAACCTCATACTACCAATTATAAATGACCTAATCGCTGCACAGAGTAAAGGGTTTCGAATCTCCTTTGTATGGATACCATCACACATAAATATAACCCATCATAATGACACAGACATTGCAGCCAAATTAGCGTGTAACAAAGATGAACTTGAATTAGATCTAGGTATCCCCATCTCTACTGTTAAAACTGTATTGGTCCAAACACTCAGGTCAGATGGGAAATAAATTACTGACATCCCAACGACCTGAAAGCACCAGTATAAAAGGTATGATTTGTTCAGATATGAAATCTATATTTATGGGCAGCACAAAACGTCCACTAGACTGTGCGACACAGTGGTTGCCAGGATCAGGTTGGGTTACCGTTACCTGTGGCAGGTGGCTGCAGGTGACGGATCTCCCAATCCTGAGCACTCCAGGAGCAAACTCTGTGAGCAGGAACTGCGACATGATCTCCCACACTACATCACTGAATGCCCAGTTATTAGACCATTCAGACCCGTTGGCATGAGGTACCTGGAGCTTTACAATTACCTTATTCACTCTTGTGTTCATGATATCCTCATAATGCACCCAGAGTCTGTCAGTGCAGACTACTTATCACATGCCTCTGTATGACTAACCATCCTGTGTGATGGGGATTTTTTTAGCATCACGTAGCTAGCTTTTTTGACACACTGTACTCCCCTTCATGTAATCTAGGTTAGTTGTACAATTGCAGATGTGTTAGTAAAGAAAACAAAAAACTTGCTTTAATTTATGAATTCAAGTACCTAGGTCGGCCAACGTGGTACATATGGAATCCTGATGACGAGAGCTGTCACCAGATACCCAACAAGGCAGTGTCAAATTTCGAAATAAAGAAATGAGACTCAGTGCACGTACTCTGTGCACTCAGTGAGGGGTTAAAAGGGCGGTGCGCACTCTCCTTCACATATTTAAAATAGCTGGTAATACATTACCTCACACTGTGTGAGTGTGTTTGTAAATCACGAAGAAATTAACACGTCATGAATAATGTGAAAATATTTAACCTCGAAGGAAAAATTAAACCAGAATTGATTGAAATGATCTCTTATTAATCTTGTTAATTGTCATAAGTACAATCATCACTTTTGATGATTGTAGTACATCAAAACAAATTTTGAATATATACTGTTAAGGAAATAGCAACTTGGTGTCTATTTTGTTGACAAATGTCAATATTTAAGGTCACAGCCTAAAAAGATGTGATTTTTGTCGAGTTTGTTCTTATGATGGGAGTCGGGAGTCGGTCGGCCGAGCGGACAGCACGCGGGACTTGTGATCCTGTGGTCCTGGGTTCGATCCCAGGCACCGGCGAGAAACAATGGGCAGAGTTTCTTTCACCCTATGCCCCTGTTACCTAGCAGTAAAATAGGTACCTGGGTGTTAGTCAGCTGTCACGGGCTGCTACCTGGGGGTGGAGGCCTGGTCGAGGACCGGGCCGCGGGGACACTAAAAGCCCCGAAATCATCTCAAGATAACCTCAAGAAGATGATTATATTCCTTAGACTGAGAATGCAGTTATAATAATAATAATAATTCATTGTGTCGGGGGACAGGAAGCCAGGGTATATTCATATACGTTAGGCTTATATCGAGGTGCCCCCCCTCCCCCCTCCTCCCAAAGCCGAATCACTGACCCCGCCCAGGACGCAACCCCACAACAAGCTGACTAACTCCTGAGTACCTACTTACTGCTTGGTAAACAGATGCATTAGGTGAAAGGAAATGTGCTTAGTTTAGTTAATTTATTATGCACCCCATACCCATCTTGTGGGTGGTAGTGGAAAGGGTTACAGAGGCACATAATGGGCTCAGGGACAGAACCCCACAATTCATTTAGCTAAGCAAGTTACAGTCTTGATGAGCTAGTTACAAAATTCAATATAAGTCGTCACATCAACAATGGGTTCGAGATCGACCACAAGTACAGTTTCTAAATTAAGTAACTGACATATGTGGAGAGCTAGTGTCACAATTGATATGTTTGTCCTGCACACCGCCCCCCATCCAGTGGGCAGCGGTGGATAGGTTACATTCACTTAGTTACTACCTACAGTTAGCAAACTGGGGATATTTGGCTAAGACTTCTGGTAGCAGATCATTTTGAATGAAATATTTACACATCTTTGGAACATTTCTTATAGAATTGTCTCTGAATTCTCGTATCTTTTCGCACTCCATCACATAGTGACGGAGGGTGTGCGAATAATTTTGTTGACACAGTTTACATTTGGTCAGGTCTACATCAGCAGATAATGAGAATTCCCAGAGATAGGTCTAAGCCGAGCAGTAGTGACATCTAGAAGTCTGCTGATTTTATTGGATGATCCATAGATGTGTGGCTCCTCTTGCATGATAGTATGATGATAGATGGAATTACTGGTGTCAATTTTACTTTGCCTCAGATCTACAAGATCTTGTTGAAGTTCTCGGTGTACTGCTGCTCTCAGATTGCTTATTGACAATCCAAGGTTATAATCAATTTCTATTTATTTATTTATATTTATTTATTTATTTATTATATATGTAAGAGTTCTTACATTTTTGTACAGCCTCTAGTACGCGTAGCATTTCGGGCAAGTTCTTAATGGCAAGTTCTTAATCCTATGTTCCCTGGAATACGACCCCCGCGAAGAATCGTTTAACAACTAGGTACCCATTTTCCTGTTGGGTAATCAGAGGCTACAGCTAAGGATTGGCGCCCAGTAAATCCTACCCGGCCAGGATACGAACCCATGACAAAGCGCTCGCGAAACGCCAGGCGAGCATCTTACCACTAC